TACAATTAGATAGTTTTTATATAATATAAATTAGGAGAGGTGCATACTAATATATATTATGCAAAAACCATATAATTACTTTTTATTCATATAATATTACTTTTTATCATCCTATAAACATATTACTCATAAAACATTTTATATTACAACCCAAAATTATCACATATTATCACTTTATTGATTACGTTGTCGTAGCAATTATTTAAGAGTAAGTTTGGTCGTGGATAGTCAAAAGTGACAGATTCTCGACATAAGCTTTTAAAACCGCTTTTCACGAGAAATCACATTATATTTTCGTATACTTACTTTGACGGAGTCATTTAATACACTTTGACGACTGTTTTCCGGTAATGTTTGGACACTTTCAGTCAACTGTGTTTCATTACGCGCACAAAACAAGCTACTATGGCGTCATTCGGGTCAGTGGCGTAATTCTGTACGTAATTCTATTACTTTGTGCATTTTTTGTTTCTAAATAGTAAACAATGGAAATATTCTGAAATCATGCACAAATAATAGAAGAAAAAGAAAGTGAAAGCAGAGGACTAGCGTGCAAAAATACTCTAAAGAGGAGAAAAATCCAATTCCTGTTAAGTGGCATATTACCCTGTGTTATCCTACATCGACGTCGAAAATACGTCAGAGAGCGGAAGACGCGAGGACGAAGGAAAGGATGAGGAGTATACGGAACGATGAGAGCGATTTGAGATTACGAGTCAGTCATTTGTTTAGGTGGAATTGCAGCGCGACCTCAGTCGAAGGTCGAAGCGGAAACGTAATGGCGTGTACTATCCTCCGTCAAGCAGCCCCGGAGTTTGCCGTACCGGAACCGCACAGGAGCGGCATTGCTTCTTCTACACCTGCCGGGCGAAGGTGCGCACACGTCATATCTGCCATAATGCGCCATTACGCTGTTTATTCGCAGTGCTACGACTCTAATAACAGGATAATAGCTTAATTAAGTCGCCGTAATCCGCTCCGGCAACAACGTGTACGCCGCATGAATTGAACGCTTCAGGAGTCACCGCCGTGAGGCGCACGCGCCTTCGAAAGTTCCGTCGCGGTTCACGTCACTTAATTGGCTGGCTATGATATAACGTGATACGAGCGCCACCGCGCTGCCCTTCGAACGCGGCTTGCATCAAATACGTTTGTATCAGATGCACAATGTTTATTGGCCTTTAATTAGCTCCGCGCGCGCGGGCCGCGCATCTTCGCGGATTAAACGAGAGGCGGCGTCTCGCCAGCAACGCGAGCCGCATCAGTTGAAACGAGTTCACCCGGGTTCAGCTTCGGCGGAATATAATCGAGCGGTGCTCCATTTCCCGCAAGATCGCGCCGGTGGAAGCTGCCAGTAGATACGTACAAGAACAAGGCGAACGAAGAGAGAAGGATAGAGGAGATGGAGGTGATGGAGGAGGAGGAGGAGGAGGAAAAGGAGGAGATACGACGATGGGATCCTTTTACACGAGTCGGTTTGCACGAGTTGTTGTACCGAGCGGTATGGGTGGAGAGAAGTTCACGAGGTCGGGTCGAATGGACAAGCCTAATGCAACGATTATCGGTGCTGAGTTATTAGGTTTAGCTTGAAAGGGGAGTCGGAGGATAGAGTAGGTCACGAGCGATTCGTCAAGACCTGTCGCTTCGTAAAACTGCGTGGGCGATCGCGGTGACTCCGCGATAAGCCATTCCCTCCGATGATCGGGAGAAGCCGGGAGAGGTATAAAAGGACCTGTCTCGGATCGCAAATCTCTTGGTTCTTTGTCAGCTAATCCCCATATACAATTTCACTTTCGCGTTCTCAGCATTGGCCACGCGGAACTAGCCGTAACAGTAGCGCTCGTGCTACGCTCGCACCCCGCGACCAAGTCCGGTAAATCAGTCGACCTGAGAGGACGAGAAAGAGAAATGCGCGCAGATTTTATGGGCCACGGCGCGTTGAACTTACCGCCGCGGCCTGTATCGGCGGATTGCGCACGCGGCGCAGACACGGATGAGGCCCCGAAGACGATGTTTAGGTGGGCGGGCGTTAGAAAGTTTCCGAACGTGTCTGCAATTTGTTCTCCGCTCGTAATACTCGAGTCCGAGCGCGTCCTGTCTTATCCGCGTTAGACAATTTACCGACGGTCCTTACGTAAGTGTACCCGGCAACACCTGTAGTCGAGCTTGAGAAGAGAAAAATACTATCCGAGATCAATTATATCGTGCGCTCTGTAATGGTTAGTGCGCGGCTTCCCTCTTACTTCAAACGTTCAAACGCTCCTCTAGCGGAGCCTATGTATTTAATTGAACACAAACTTTGAAAAATCCGATTTCTTTTGATATCGTTGGACGTAGAAGTGTCCGTGGAATAACAAGCGATTCGGAGAGTTTAGCTAGAGAGGCATTTTCCTGCATTGAGAGAAATTATCCGATAAAAAATTAACAAACGGATATTTCCGATCGAAATACCAATGAATTTTTGCGACGAATAATATTTTTCTCTCCCTAATAACGTACAATTTTAGTGTCCAAATAAAAATGTTTGAAAAAAAAGAATACATTGAGAGAAATTATCCGATGAAAAATTAACAAACGGATATTTCCGATCGAAATACCAATGAATTTTTGCGACGAATAATATTTTTCTCTCCCTAATAACGTACAATTTTAGTGTCAAAATAAAAATGTTTGAAACAAAAGAATACATTGAGAGAAATTATCCGATGAAAAATTAACAAACGGATATTTCCGATTAAAATACTGATGAATTTTTGCGACGAACAATATTTTTCTTTCCTTAATAACATACAATGTCCAGATAAAATGTTCGAAAGAAAGAGTACACTGAGAAAAATTACCCGATAAAAAATTAATAAAAGAATATTTTCGATTAAATTCATGTGATTAATAACCAATCAAATAATTTTGTATCTATTTTCTATTCTGTTTCTGTATAATAAATGGGTTCAGGTTTTGTAACACATTCAGTGCATATAACTGTTCGAAAAGTGCATTAAATTTTTACCAGTCTACGGGTCTCTGTGTGTTAATTCTTGAGGGAGAAAGTTCTGCGCGAAAAGTCGGACGATGTTCGAGATAACGACGTGCGAGAGGGTTGCACGGATGAAAAGTTGGCAGGAATAAATTAAGAGAGAAGAAATGCAAGAAAAAATAAGAAAGGAAAGATCTCCCGAAGAAGATTATTCGGACGAAGGAACATGCCAAAGCATACATCCAACTCTCATTTACCTCCCACGCAGACAGACGAGGGTTAAAACCTGACTTACTTCATCTCCGACTAATTTGAACGTTTCAAGCGGCGAGGAGAATAAAAAGCTTTTTATGTAATCCTCGCAAGGCTGCCCGATCAATCCCACGCAATAAAATCGAGGACGTTGGGAACTGTCCCGTCTCCCCCGGGGCCCCCGGGTGTCCGCGCGATATACCGCGGGATTCGCCACATCAGTCCGGGGATTGGTGTTACGTCAGCGACTTGCACGCTCGTTCGTGCAATTTATAACTCCCACTTGTGCTTTCCGAGAGTACGAGATCAAGACGAATCGTGGCTTCATCCTCTCCTCCGCTCAACTTCCAACCGTAGCGCCGCGGTTGACCGTGCTTAATAGTTTCCACTCTGAAAGAGAAAGAGAGTCGGAGGAGCGAGGGAGAAAGAGAGAAAGAAGGGCGCGGAAAAAGGAAGATAGTGAGAGAGTTTCTGTCCCGAGGCTAGGCAATAAATCGCATCGCGAAGCTTATCAGAGTGGGATATTCGTCCGGAGTACCGAGGGCCCTTCCTCTCCCCTGGGAATAAAAGAAGCGCGGAGGAGCGAAAAAAGGAACAAGACGGACGAAGAAGAAGAAAACGATCGAGAATTCAGACCCGGGTTTGCCGACCGGAGCGCTCACTGACCCCTGACGGCTTCGGAGCCGAAGCGGACGTCACGAGAAACCTTTACCTTCGTTACCTTGGTAGTATTTAAGGATCTTCCTCGGCGCGCCGTATACAGCTATGCAGGTACTTAGATCTTTATCCGACATTGGCCGTCATGAGGGGATACTCCACTGAACCTGAAACCTCCTCGAGAGCCATTATCGGTTCCGCGAGAGATACCCTCCTCCGTGGCGAATTGTCTGTGAAATTGTACCTTGCGCCCTAAGTATGGCGTAATAGGAGACGAGCTCCGAGCATTAGAATATTCGATTCTCTCCGTGCCAAGCACGTTGCGCGAGCGCGTGATTGAAAACTCAATTGTCACTGTGGCCAGTAATAATAATCGTCGGCGGGTTGATCGTCGAATCTCGTGGCCGCTTATTCCCCGATCTGAGCGTGATCTTCGAACGCTGTTTTGCGTAATAAATGCGTGAGTAGATAAAACCGAGGCGGCTGCTTTTAAATCGACGTCTCGTAACGCTCGAGTGACATTCAAAGGTACCGGCCACGTCGACAGGCGCGCACGGGTTTAATCGAGATTTCAGTACCGAGAGAGCTCATTTATTCGCTACACGCTCTCGTCACTTTCCTTTAGAGACCACCGAAACGTAGCCGAGTCGTAGACTCGGAGGGTGAGGGCTCTCGCGCGACGTTATTTATCATGGTGTTCTCTTCCTCGACATTACTCGCGATTCGATCGCCGCTGATAACGGTACACTACGAGAGGGACGTAAAAGTACCTGCGCACATTATTTAAGCCCGCATCACCGTCGGCGAAGTCCCAACGACGACGACGACGACGATTAAGAAAAAGAAGAAACAGAAGAAGATAACACTACGTTTCTACGAGCGGGGCCTACTTTAGCGCATGTGTGCCAATTAATTTCTAGAACTGGCAGCGAGTTAATTACGTTATTGGTCATTACTAAACATTTTGTTATAAAACGCGCTCGAAGCGAAGGACTCTTTCGCCTTGAATTATGAACTGTTCACGACAACGCTCTACCAATGGCAGTCGAGGATGATAATTCTAATTGTACAATATAGGTGTGCAAGTCACGAATATTGTTGCATCGATGTCCATTCGTGTTGCACAAGCCTTACGAAGCGTTTCCTCGATATTCTCGTCGACTGGGAAGACATAGAGAGAGAGAGAGAGAAAGAGAGAGACAGAGACGAAATGCTGTCTGTGCTGGTTCTCACTGTACTCCTCGGTATCATCAACCGCTCCATTGTGAGTACTTTGCTGTGAACACATACACAGAATATTTCATCGCAAAGAAATTTTTCATAAAACGTATTGACAGTATAAAAAGAGACGTTGCGTCATTGTGTAGGCCTTCTTTGAGTACTCTGATGATGAAGAGAAGATCTCAGTAAAGTTCTTTGGAAAAAGTGATTTTTTCTCACTTATCGACTGTCATTACCCAATATGTTTAAATGTTACCAAAAACATCACGGAAAATGATCAATTATACGTGAGTACTAGAAAATATGTATTTAAACGTAAATAAAAAATAATAACACGATTACAAGACAATCCCGAAAATATAAAATTCTCCATAAAATGAAGTCGTCTAATTTTGTCTTCGATTAATAGCAGTGACAATTCTTTTAAAATTTGTTTTGCAAGGATAGAAAAAAATTATATAATTTGCATGAAAAATAAAGTTTAATTGGATCAACGCTGGTAAATTGGAAATTGCTGGTAAAATATAAACGAAAATTTTAGAAAATTTGAAACCAGAAAATTTTAGTTGAAGTTACCACAATTCCACTCAAGTTAAGCAGAAATCTCATTAAATTTCAATAAAATTCTAGTAATGTCAACCAGAATTTTCTGCACTAAAAAAGTTATTTTTGTATTTGGAACTAAAATATTTCGTACATACGATTTAATTACTATGTTTGTGTCAAGTGCATGTATTATTGAAGAAACAAAACACATACGGCGGTAATTAAATGTTTTGGTTGCATGAAAATTTGATCTCATTTTAACAAAATTTTGATTTTGTGTATCAAATCCTCGTTTCGACAACAAAATTCTTTTTTCTCAATGTGGTCCGTTTATATTTCACCAGAAATTTAATTAATTTAACCAAATGTTTTTTTTTCCGTGTGATGTTAAGTACAAATCATATTTAATCGATGCAAAATTAAATTTATTTATTAAATTTAGGAGAATTTTTTTCTTTCTACTTATCATCAGTTATACGTCATTAACTTATCTAAAGGATGTCCGATAGTTCGTTAGAGCCGCGGTATACAGGTAGAATACATTAATCTGAGAAAAAAGTCCTCTACTATTTTTCAAACAATTACATAAAGTTTCGAGATATTAATGTAAAAAGATGGACGAACCAGGGCGTGCGATGTTGTGAGACGAGTTCTGTAATCGCGAGATCTCATCGGAAATATGTGAAACGTGACTGCAACTTAGCACAGATGGATATCGGCTGACAGCTGAAGGCGAAGTAATGGTGCGAGAGACCTATAGACAACTGTTTCTCAATGTATCACGAGTGTGTCGTACGCGTGTTACTAAGAAATAATTTCAGACATTTTCGATGAAATCTCGCGCTTCAATCTTCTCTCATTAATATCTCAAATATTATGTAGTTGTTTGAAAAACAGTAAGAAATCTTTTGCTCAAATTGATGTATTCTATACTTCGCTTGTTTTCCGGGTTTAAACCGCGTTCTCCTCGTATTTAGTTCCGACGTTTCGCAAACATTTCAATTCACTTCTTCAGAGAGCAGAGCGACCTGGGACTGATGTACTGCTTAATGTATTTTACCTGCATACATTGGCTCCGTAGCGAATTATCGGACGCCTTGTATATTATTAGGACCTTAACTTAGTTTCCGCCCGCAAATGTTAGATGGCAATGCAAACAGTTCTAGTAGTCATTACTAACGAAACAGGTAGTTTGTGATTAATTTCGACATTTCTCGATAACATTCAGTCAGCATACACAATTATTTTCCTAAACAACAATTTCTTTTGCTTTGTGAAAAATGGAACGC